CTAACTTAAACGAATTTAAAGATTTTTAAACGCGGTCACGTGAAAGTGAAAATTTTGACGGCGATACTGGGGAAGATGTGTCCAGCAAGAACACGGAAATATTCTTTTGATTTAAAACAAAAATTTTGATCGATTTAGGCAAAATTTTTGACTTCGATTTTGGCTAGAATTAAGCTTCAAGTTAGTAACTCTGGCTGGAATTATGATCATGTGGTTATTTCGAATTCCGCTGTACTAGAAATTTTAATCACATGATAATATCATTCTCATGTAATTTATTTTTATATGTAACTGAAAAATTGTTTCCATGCCCCTGGTGTCCGGAGACTTCTCCCAGTATCGCCTTCAAAATTTTACGGGCACGTGATATTTTTGTGTTGCAAACCAATCATATTTCAAGGTCAGGTGTAAACCAGCATAAGAAACCACCTTTGGTACCCTAACAAAAAGCTTTCCTAGTGCGATTTTACCGTATCATTTACTAATACTTACTAATACTTAAACGCTAACCCTAACTTAAACGAGATTGGAGATTTTTTGGTACGCCGCAAATATGGTCACATGTGAAGGCGATACTGGGGAAGATAAATTTTATTGTGAAAGATCTACAGGCGTTGCTCGACACATCAAAGTAGTAGCTTTAAAAGCACCTGACTAAAATTATGCCTTCATGCATCGGACCGTCTACGGACACGTACTGATTCGCGTGATTTACATGTATCTATTATAAATCTAAAACCTGTCATGTGCTAATATAAGTTCGGGTACGTGAAAGTCATATGAATTGGTACGTGTCCGTAGATCATCCCTTCATGCATTAATTCTGGTCAAGTGGTTACTTCAAATAGGTCACTACACCAAATGTAACATTCTACACATAACTATAAAAATTATTGCATAATAATACAGTAATAATACAGATACCCAATAATACACCTGATACCTATATGTTAGCAAATTCTAAAATTGGATTGGTTGTTATATAATGCAGGACTTGTTTTTCAATTTTTACCACGTAGTATTGGTATATACTTTTAATAAAAATCATCTGACAACACATACAAGTATAACTCGGAACTATTTCATCATTGTGTATCCTTGATTTTCTCGATCGAAGTTCGAGATAGAAGTGGTGATCGACAGATGTTACAAACTTGCACAATTGTATCCTTTTAAGTAAATTATTTATATTATCCGTTATTCCACATTGCATATAACCACATAATTCCGCAAATATGTATATACACATTTATATATATTGTAAAAAAAATAGTTGTTTTTTTTTTATAACACTATGCATTAATAAAACAAAAATTGATAGAAAGCATACATTAATTATATGATTTAAAGCATTGTGAATGGGAAATGAAATGAAAATATGTGATGATTTATGATGCAATAATTGTTCTTTCATTATTATCCAAAAGATTCGATAGACTCAATTTATTGTTATAATTCATAAAAATATCGATATTATGTGGGAATTGGGAAAATAATAATAAAATCTATAAGGGAATGAAATGTCTTACACCAACCCATCGTACAAGCTTAAGGCTTGAACGATTGTAGGATCTTGTTTTGAGCCTTCTCTAAATTCCTCTATACTGAGTTTACCATCTTGATTCTAATATACGAATAATTGAATAAATAATGAATTAATAATTCAGTGTAAGTGAATGTAAATGAATAGCAAGTAATTTTTTTAACATACTTTATCCATCAAATTAAATATTTTCTTGACACGCTTCTCTGGTGTATCTTCATCCGGAGGCAGTTTCACCATACTACCGACCATTTTGTATATTGCATCTACAATTTTATACATTTCATCATACGTTATATAACCATCATTGTCTATGTCATAAAGTTGGAACGCCCCTATTTGAACATAAATAAAAATTGTCAATTAAAAGGTGCACTATCATAAAATTAGTATATAAAAAACGTACATTGTAACTTTTCGTCTAATTTGCCTCGAGAAGTAATAGATAAGGCACATATAAACTCTTTGAATTCTATTTTTCCATTCTTATTTTCATCAAATACATCAAAAACATATTCGGCAAATCGGGAGGGATCACCAAAAGGAAAAAATTGTTTGTATATTTTTTGAAACTCGAGTTTGTCAAGTTCACCAGAAGGACAATCTTTTAGAAATCCTTTATACCTTTTGTTGAGAAAGTGAATAATGTAAAACTACTTTGAAACTTACAGGAAAAAAAACTTGAAACCAAGATCTCTAAGGATTCTTACCATTGTTGAAGTTCGCTTTTGTTAACTATTTTGTGAAGAATATACAAAACAGTAAGTAAGCTAGCAATACGAAAGATAAATATTAAACTGTTTAAATAAAACCCCCCCCGAAATATTTACAATGAGTGCATTTTTGTAACTCCCTTAGTTCGTCTTCGTTGAGTTTACTATTGGATTTTCCCATTTTAAAAAGAAAAAATATTACAAAGTATACGATAGTTGTTTTTCTTATATGCAAATCAGCACACTTATTTACATTTATTTGACCAATCAAGATCTGCAATACATTTAGCTTACTCGAGAACAAAGGAAAAATAGGAAGGTTCTCATAGAAAATTCCAAAGAAATTTATTTATATATATCGGTAATATACATTCTGGGCTGATTGTTAATCAAAAAATTTCATAACCTTTTATAGACATCTTAAGAACTTTGTTTGACTTAAATACGTAATGTCATTCGATCACCTTTAACGTGATCCGATAGAATGATTTTATGGAATCAAACAAAACATTCATCTCCATAAAGTGTTAATTTTGATACCTTGCACAACCTTATGGCATTTGATCAAATATATTCAAATATTTGATTCAGAATACTAGTCCAGACGATAGCGATAGTAATAGTTTGAAAGTTTGTGTAAAATAAATTGTATCAATATGTCATGTCACTCCAGTTAATGTGGCTAAGCAAACTTAGCCACGAATGCCATATAACAGCTGAAAAACATACGTACGTACGTACCTAATACGTATTTGTAGGCGTTTTAAATCAGCATATCGATATATTAAATCATAAACATCACCTAATTTAAATTAACGCCTCTAGTATTTGTAACTTCGCTTTGATCAATCAGACAGGATGGATCAAAAAGTAATTTTTAATTAGTTAACTAATCAAGTGTACTTATTATTTGATACAGAGTTACGATAATTTAGTTATTCGAAATAAAAAATTTAATTAGTGGAAATCGTTTAGCCGATTAAGTGCACTTGTAATTTCAGCTAACAAGAAATAGTGACCTAGATTTTTTTTTTTTTATGATTTCAAATTATGGATCTTCAAAATCGTAACTAGTCGAGCTCAACAAAAATCTAAGCATGGGTGTGGTCAAGCATGAGCACAAAATCTCAGGCATGGACATGAACATGGGCAATACAAATAAAAGCAGCTATGAGTATTCCGTTCCTTCTGCTTTCATGCAATACCTGATAACTAATACAGAATTCGAAAGGATCAACTAGGTTCATCAATTACTAATTCTGGTTCTATTTTTTATTACAAAGGGTAGGGCAAGACAGTTTATCTGAAAAAAACCTTTACCCTTTTGATTGACATGCCCGTTTCAGTTATACAAGCGCTTTTTACAAGTAAAAACAAAATTTCTTTGTGGCTGTCATTTTGACAAATTCTTATCTATTTAACATCAAAAAACAAATAAACAATCTTTTATAATATTATTCCAACAGATCATTTTTTATACAAAATTAATGAAAGGGTTTCTTTGTAATTGTCATTCTAACAAATTATTTTTATTTTATTTATTTATTTATTTTGCTTTTATTAATGTTGATGTTTGTAATAACTATCATATTTATTGTGTTTTTTTTTTGCTTTTACTAAGGCTAATGTTAATAGTTATTATTTTTTTTTTAAAAAAAAATATTAATAGTAAGGCCATGCTTTTAACTTAATTGAAATTCAATCGAAGTTTTTACAAAAAAAAGTTTGTTTTTAAATTACATTTAAAGAATAAAGATTTAAATATATAATCTGCAATTTAAATCTACAAAAGTGTTCAAGACTTATCTAGATTTGAGATTAAGTAATAATATAAAAGAGAGGAATATGGTATTTAATTCATTAAATAGTTTAAAAATCAATTTTAGTAATAATTTGTAGTATTGAAATAGAAGATGAAAGTAGACTAGAAGAATGATTATAAGTTAAGTTAGTAAAAAGTATAGTTTGAGATTGTGCAAAATGTGAAATACAGTATAAAATCCATATTTGTTTGTATATTTGTTGGTTTAAGTGAAAAAGAAGATTAATAGAAAAAGTAATAGCAGTATAATAAGAAATAAAAGCATTGTGAATAGTAGAAATAAGATCGATAAAAACTAAACCAGATAAAATAGAATTAGAGAAAATATATATAAAGAGTTATATAATTTAAAACTATTAAGTGTGGGAATTTTAATATGTAAATCAGAAACAAGATTAGCAGACATATTAAGATTAGTTGTATTTAAAATACTATTAAGAGAATTAGAGATTAAGTGATAAATTGTTTGGATTAATGGGCAAATAACTCAATAGGGTGAAAAGCTGATTTGGTTGCATTAATGATAGGAGAAAAGAAATGAAGAGTTATGTTTATAAAGAGTATGACTAACAGAAAGTTCATCTATAAGGATTTTAATTCAAAAAGTTTTCAGAATAGATAAATAAAAATTATAAACAAAATTAGAAATTTTTTAGTTATTGTTGATATAAAATCATGTAGTTTCTCAGTTAATGTCAGATGTAATAGTAAACTATTGTTGAAAATAATATTAAGATATTCAAAGTGTTATAATATAGACTTGGCATATAGTTCAAATAGAGTATCGAATAGGAATTTCAATATGAAATTTATTAATAAAAGAAGTATAGTTAAGGTTATAAGAATTATTATTTAAGAATATTAAATAAGGTAATATTTGATAATTATGAGTAAGTTGATCAGCAAAGTTATTAAATAAGTCATATTAGTATGCAGTAACTTTGTGAAAAATAAGTTGAATTTCATTAGACTTAATAAAGTTGATAAACGTTTGTTAGATAAAGAAATATAGAATATAAGTATAAGAAAAGATAGATACTAATTGGCAAATATTATAATATTTGAAGATTACTGATTGTAAATTAGTAAATATATAAACAGAGTAATGTTTAGAAACAATAATAATTATTTAGAAAATAACAAGAATTTCAGTTTTAAAAAGCATGACTACAGTTTAACTTGTATCTGAAATGAGTTAATAGTTGTAAAGTTATCAACTTGAACTCAACCTATGTCTATAAAACATTGTGAAATATCAAAATTAATAACAGAACTATTAGTATAAAATAAAATAGATAATAGATTGTAATTTGAGTTAGTGATAATCTGAAAGTTATTAACAAATTAATCTATTTCAAAAATAAAAAGTAGTTGTTGTAAATTAATTGTGAATAAAAGAAAAGATGAAATATATAAAAGATGTCAAAGAGCAACAGTATACAATATCAAAAAAGTTTATATACAAGATGAGAGTTTTGTTAAAATTGATGTGATAAAGTAGCTTAATAGCTAAGTTAGTAAAAATAAAAATAGTATATTTGTAAGCAATTGTATTTAAATTAAGGTAGTATCTAATATATAATATGATAGTAAAAAAAGAAATAGAATAAAGATTAAAGAACTAAGACTAGAATAAGCAGTATCAGTAGTTAATAAGAATAAGGCCAGTAGATGTATTAGATTATTAAAAACAGTAAATAGTCAAGGTTTAGTGTTAGAAGTAAAATAATTAGTAGAGTAGTATAAGTAATTTATAGAAGGTAGATTATAATAATCATATAGGGTAAATTGGTAAAAGTGACTTGTAGTAATATTCTCAAAGATAGTAAACCATTATAATATAACACCTTTTGAAATTTTATTAAGTCTGGATAAAATATGTTGCCAGTGCAGTAGATATAAATTGTTATGAATAGTAAGTTGGTCCAAAAAAAGAAGTTTATAATATTTAAGTTGTTTTTGAAAATAGAATATTTTGAATAAGAAAAAAAAAATTCAAGAGATATAGTTTTATTGTTTAGAGTATATGGAATATTGTAAATTAGGCTATATGTTTAATAAATTATATTATTTTGAAGTTTATAGTTAATCAATTAGGTCTATTAATAATTGGCTTAGAATGAAAAAAAATATTAGTAAAAGACCAGAGATTGTTTTGAAATTGTTGAATTCATAAACAAGTAGATGTGCCTAGTAAATCAGAATTATTAAGTTATTTAAGAAGATTGAGAATATGATGTTATAGTTAAATGTTTTAGATATGTTTAATGTTATAGATTTGAGAATGTAATAGGGTACTGAATAGTATTATATAGCAAAGTTTAGCTTTGAGCTTAACAAGACCAATGTGTTGAATAAAAATTTTGTTACAAATAGGTTGGTTAATAATAATATTATATAAACAGTATTTGATAGTAGGGATAATAACTGTATTGATAATGTAATAGGCATATGAATTAGTTATATATGTTGTTTTTGTAAATTGGATAAGTTAGAAGAATTCAAAGATAATTAATTTTGTCTGTTTAGATTATCTATTATCTAAAGTAAACCAGCAATCTAAAAATTTAAAGATTTGTTTAAAAGAATAAAGTGAAAGTAGATAGTTATTATAAAAGATAAAAATATAGTGAGATAGAGAGTTATTAGTAACCAGAATAGATTTTAAAAGATAACTTAAATGTTTGTCATAGTATAAAATAATTTAGTTATAAATAATATATGAGATAACTCAGTTTGTGAGAAAATAACCCAAAGAGTATTATCTATATATGCTAGAACAAAGCATTGTTTTTGTAATAAATTAGTTGTTTGAAGTTTTAGATTAGTGGTTCAAGTAGATTGTAGAGTATACCTAAAAACTTTTAAGTATATATATGAAATAAGTAGGTTATAGTAAATATGCTATAATAAAGATGTAATTGTTTCATTTTGGTCAATATCATTGTGAACTAGATAGAAGGAAATAAGACCAAGATTGATAATAACTTGGTTGTAATAATCAGTAAAAAGATTAGTAAGAATGTTAATAATTAATAATAGATAAAGAAAGTGAGAGATAAGAAAGTAAATGTTTAAAAAGAGCAAAGTTTACAAAATCATATGCTTTGCTCATATTTTGTAAAAGTAACCAAATGCTTTTGTGATTGCAGGTAGCATCTTCAATAAAATTATAAATAAGAATTGAAGTACTATTATTAGGAAGTGTAACATAATTAAAAGATAAGAGAATAGGATTTGAGAAAATTATAAAACTAAGTTAGTTTGTAAGAATTTTTGTATAAAGTTTGCAAATGTATTCAATTAAACTGATAAGTCATATAAGGTTAAAGTCATTAGCAAAGGTATTGCATTTAAAA